ATATTAAGTAGCTAGTATCATTTATAACAGATTTATAAGCAAATATGTGTGCGCGAAATTTATAATCGCTCTACTGAAAAGTCGACAATTTGCAAATAGAACATTATTCTACTAATGGGACGATATACAGGTACCAAGGCTTATGTCAATTAAATCACATAAAGGACTAGAAGCATATAAGTAGATTGCCCATCAGTTTGTCCGTCACTGAAGCTGGGTTCTTGTTCCAAAATGTACAATAATTGTATAAAGAACGTTTCTGCCTCGCACAGTAAAACTGGAATGATCTGTCGTCGCCGGTATTTCTGAACCGATACGACCTTCAAACCTTCAAGAAAAGAGCGTATTCCTTTTTAAAAGGCCGGCAACGCACATGTGTCTCCTTCGGTGTTGTGGGTGACCATAGGCGGCGCTGATCGCCTACGATCAGGTGATCCGTCTGCTCGTTTATTCCCTATTCCATAAAAAAGAAATAGAATAATAGAAGAAGAATAGAATGCTAGTTTTCTACTTACAGCAACGGGTCTCTGTCGATCTGGTCTGAAGCTGTAGGCCCCTGACTGCAGGGTTTGTTGGCCTTGAGCGTAGAAATAGAAGTTCTGGCCCACGTCAATCCTGACTCCATCCACATGCTGGATAGACTCCAGCAGTCCTGTCACCTTGTCCACTGTCACTTTTATGTACTGGAAAGAGATATTTATTGATAAGACTAGAGTACATAACATAACATCACGCCTTTTATCCCCGAAGAGGTAGGCAAAGGTGCACATTACGGAACTTAATGCCACTGTACAATGTTACACCCACTTTCACTATTTATGTTATAGAGGGTGTGCCTATTGCCGGGCACAATTCCAGACTCCGTGCTATACTACTGAGAATTATTTAAAAAAAAAACAGTAATACTTTGCGACCACTCGATCAACAAGGCATTAAGACTAGAGCAGTTTTCAAAGTTGTCTGGACTACAACATATCTAAATCAAGTTCCTAAACTCCGGAACTTTCGGAGTCGCGGAGAACCTAATGGGTAACCGGGGCTCCGGCTCGATGTGCAAGAGAAGGAACGGGGTGGTTTTCAGTCAGTAAGAGTCTGACACTCCCTCCCGCCTCACCCAGGCGGGAGCAGTCATTCGATGATTTTCCCCCCTTAAAAAAACCCCCCGGAAATTCACTTGCAAGGCAGTAAACCGTTACCAATATGAAAAACAAAATACACAATGGTTAGTGGTTACACAATGGCTGTACGTTTCATTAAAATTCACTTTCGAACCATGGAATGGGGAAGCCCTGGAAATATAATAATATTTCTCAAACTTTTTGAGCGAATTGCTTGTGGATTATATAAATTATTTCACAAGTTATTCCATCCGCTCCAATTTTGTTAAGATACCAACTGCCAAGCAAGGGTGTCCAGTGTAAATCTTGGGTGAGGCAAAATATTATTAGGATTTTATAAGATTATATTATTACTATTGGCTATGTGCGCGACGGTGGCGACGCGTAGCGTTTACAACATTTGCGGAAGCTGTCAAACAATAACTATGTAAACAGTATAATTTTCTTTGCAAATATAAATAAAACCGAAGATTAAAATAGTATTGTTGACATTATTTACGTGCAATTTATTCAATAGTTTTACTGTAAAATCAATATAATAATAAAAACCGGGTTTGCATCATCCGCATTAGTTTCCAATTTCTGCCGTGTTGTGCGCTGCGGTCGTTATCCGTCCGCCACTACTCGCTTTGCAGATAGCCAATATGGCTGATATTGAAGAATAACAATAACAACTCTCTCTCTCATACACTTACCTCGTTGGATATGAAAGGTATGATCTCCTGCTCAGCCTCAATTTTCCCTTGATTTGATTTAGAAAACTTTTTGGCAAACTCGTTCTCTTCCTGTAAAAATTAAAATATATACCCATGTATGATGATAGTATAGAATATAAATAGCCTTCCACATCTGCAAGGAGATAATTTAAGAAAAGACAGAAAAATTCCTTTTTACTTTTCAGCGATCTACATACTATCGGACATCAGATTCTCCTAGCATTAGGTTTGGGCATACAAGCATCTGGTTTAGATTCAATGACTCAAGTTATGTTTGGTGATTATCTACAACTTTAAGCAGGATTTTGCCAGGAATTGTTTCTCCAAAGCATGAAATATGAGTTAAAATATCTCACCAACTGATCTCTGACAGGAGCGATGTAATACGCAGTGAATCCTAGTGGAGGTATGTTTTCAGCTTCGAAGCACAACTCCTGGATTGCAGTAGAGGATCTCCCTGGAAGATTGATGACGGCTGCTGGGAGAGGTACCAGTTGATATTCTACCTCCTCGTCTGAAAAAGTAAGAGAAGTAATATTATTGGAAGCTAAAAAAGTATTTAAGGTCCTTGGTTTTGAAGTTCCTGTCAGCTACTAAAAGACAGAGTATAGCTGGGGTTTAGAAAAAAAAAAACAGTAGCAAACGGAGTATATTACACGGAGTAAATTGTGCCCGGTATATGGCAATAGACTCACCCCCTATTACATGGGACTCATAACATAAATAGTGCAAAGCGGGTGTTAGATTGGACAGTATCTTTAAGTGCCGTAATGTACACCTCTGCTTACCCCTTCGGGGGTAAAATACTTGATGTTATGTTATGTTAAAAGACAAAATGCATAAACATTTTGTCTGACAACCAGAGACATGAATATGAACGAAAACATTTTTTGGTGTTTAAATTGTTTAGATCATTACCATTGAAATCCCTAATGGTGTAGTGGAGGGCTATGGCGGGCAGTCTAACGTGATGATACGTCTTCACGCTAAGCGGGTTGTAGACAAGCAGGAGCATCGATTCTTGGTTCTCTGTGAACTTTACAATAACTAGTTATGGTACATTTTTTTTCAAGGTCACAGCATTTATTTCAATTAAACCATAATTTGGTACTTTTGAAACGTCAACACATACAAAATAAATAATAGTCTGTCAATCAGTCCGTCAGTGAAGCTAGGTGAAGCTAGGTGCTCATTCCAAAATGTAGATTCGAATGGAGAAGAACGAGCAAGAAACTCCATTCGTTACTCTTTTTTAAAAATATTAATTTTTATTAGACTTTATAATTATCCCGACTTCAGCCGTAGGAAATCCTTTGTCTCACAACGGTCCCGATTACTTTAATATCACCCATTTAGAAGCCATTAATATTCAGGCGGTCGTGGTGGCCCGGTGGTTTAAGTCGCCTGTTTCTCATGCATAAGAGTGCAGGTTCGAAATCTACTAACGACAAGTATCAATGTGATTTTTTCCGAGTTATATGTACTTCCTAAGATTTAAATAATCTTAGGAATCTTAGGAATAAACGGTGAAGGAAAACATCGTGAGGAAACCTTGACTTATAATTTCTAATTATAAGTTTGAAATGGCCAACCCGCATTGAACAAGCGTGGTGATTAATGCTCAAACCTTCTCAATGTGAGAAGAGGCTTTGCTCAGCAGTGGGCATTTATAGGCTGTTAATGATGAAATGATGAGCATCCAGGTCCCTACGACCTTAGATAATTAGACCTGGTTAGTATGTAGAATACAATCACTGAGACACTTTTCACTAGTTTCATCATGATCACATTTTAAGAGTATGGGCCGGCTCGACCGGAGTGATACCACGGCCTCACAGAAAACCGACGTAAAGCAACGCTTGCGTTGTGTTTCGTCATGTGAGTGAGGTTACCGGAGGCCCAATTACCCTCCCCTTCCTCAATCTCCACAATCCTTGAATCCCCAACGATCCTCAAACTCGTAATCCCCAAAAAGCCGGTAACGCACTTGTAACGCCTCTGGTGTTCCAGTGGGCTTACTCTTGAATCCAATTGCGATCGATCGACATTGGTATTGTGAAATTTCGTACTCTCGACTTACAACACTAGCGCCCATTACATCCGTATTGCGTAGATATTTAATGAACTAAATGGTATTGAGGTTGGCTTTATATTCTGTACTCTACCTCTAAATGCTATTTTAACAGCTACGAAAGGGGTTGTATCGTTTTGACATTGAATAATTATCGAGATTTTATTGGATTGAAATTGCTTTGATATTGAGATTGGTTTCAAGAGTAAGCACCCAGGTGTCCATGGGAGACGCCGATTGCTTACCATCGGGTGATCCGTCTGCTCGTTTACTGGCTTATGGCATAGAAAAACAATTATTATTGTGTAACAGTACTTTATAATTAGAAACTATAAGACCAGGTTTTCTCACGATGTTTTCCTTCACCGTTTGTCAGTGGTGTCTAGATAATTGCAATATATTTATTACTTACTCTACATTGGCTCATGTTAAGCTGATGACATATTACAAACTGTTGGTTATTCTTCGTTCTTCTACTTCCACCCCAAGTTGGAGTTAAGTAACTGAAAAATAAATCGATTAATAATATTATTATTTACTCGACGTCCAATTACCACTCTCCCTAATCTCCCCAATCCCTGAATTCTCAACAATCCTCAAATTCTGATCCCCAAAAGCCCGGTAACGTAATTGTAACGGGTGGTGTTTCGGCTGTCCATGGTCGATGGCTGATCGCCCACCATCAGGTGATCCGTCTGTTTGTTAACCGGCTTACCCAATACAAAAAAAATACTGAAATATTTGCACGCGCATATCTCCTAAACGACAGCATAGGATTGGATGATTCTTGTTGTGTTTTTTATTGTCAGTACGATATGTGCCCGAAATTATACACCGTGAAACACTTGCCATCAGGAGTACTTTCGAAGTACTCGCATAAAGTAAAAACAAAAAATAAGTATTTTTGATGTTTTAATTAAATACTATGAGTTCAAGTGCGCTTTCGAAGTTTGCGTTGCAATGGTTCACCAGTTATTTTTTGTTTTAAACATTGTATTTGTTTGTAAAACTATTGTATTAACGAGACAGAACCATTTTACTTCGGGACGAAAACGAAATAGATTTCACGGTGTAGTTTTGTATCTTTACAATTACTTACCTGAGCAGATTCGAAACTTTCTTAGTGCATGCATCGATGGCCTCACTTAGAATCCTGACGAAATCAGATGTCACATGCTGCTGGCTTGTCCCTGTTGATAATCGGGAAATAAAGTAAAACTAAGTTATTGGACAAATATTGTTAGGCTCAGATTGTCAGACTCACGACGCGATTTTGTCCAGCGCCGGCCGCAGTTTCGGGCCCGCAGCCTTTGTAGAATAGATACAGATATATTAGGTACTAGCAACCCGTCCCGGCTTCGCACAGGGCAGACAATTATTTATGTTTGGAAATTTAGATTGTTATAGTGACATAACTACAATGGTTGCTACCGCGGAGTTTTTTGTAGACATCATGATGTTCTTCAATATTGTTGTACATTATTTTGTTCTATCGCTAATAGTTTCGGTAGCGCATTCGAGGAAAGACATTTTAAGACATTTTAAATTATATTGATCAAATTTTAAGGATTCCTAATTTTTTTTCAAAATGAAATGTAGCCTATGTCAAATTGGAAGAACGTAGCATTCTACTGGTGAAAGAATTTTATAAATCGGTCCAGTACTTTTTGAGCCTATTCATTACCTCTACAAACGTACAAAAATAGGTACAAATCTTTCCTCTTTATAATATTAGTATAGATGTAAAAAAATAAAGCATATTTCAGGACGCGTATTACGCCCGCGGCGGTTGGCGGGCGGAGCAGTCTGGCGGACGCGGCGGTTCGCACCCGCGTGCTCTGCGTTCGGTTGGCGGGCGATCGCAATGGGACGGCCGGTCTGGAACTCAACTGATTGTTTAACCGCGCGCCCGTCCTGCGATAACCAACCGAAAATTTCGCGGGCGATAATCGCAACCGCGGCGGCAACGGGATCGCAAAAAACTGCGGTCTCGTGAGTTTTGAGTTTTGGGCGCGGGTGAAAATTACGTAGTGAGTCCGTAGCGTTAATGGGACTACTTCTTTTTTCAACAAAACATTGCCCTACACTAGGATTTTCTCCTGTGTCGTGGGTGCGTTTACAAACATACAAGTTCACATACACATCACACACAGACACGGAACAACAATTTGTGGATCACACAAAGTGTTGTTCCGTGCAGGAATGAAACCCGCGACACGCTTCACGGCAGCCGGTGGTCCAGGCACCGCGCTAACTGTGCAGTTATTAGTGTATTGACTTTTCAGGAAACATTGATGAATGATGACGAAAGAAAGAAAATACATTTATTCAGCACCAGGCACGATGCAGCATGAATAAAATATAAAAAAAGACAATACAGGTATGACAGTGGAAGTAATAAAAACATTGAGTTGAAAAATTAAAACAGAAGATTTAGAAGAGAGACGCTGACAACATGCCTATGCTAAAACCACCCACTCAGTGTAAGCCAGGCATACAAGTCACCCAGTACTGATTTTCAGTGGGCACCCATGCAGTGACGCACGGATGGTAGCAACGTACAAGGAATGTCTGCATTTTAAACTGCCACACCTCTGGCCACGCCACAGGCGCCACATTGGGTGGAAGAGGTGTATTTATATTAACCGAATTAAAAAAATGAAAGAGAATTTCAGTTGACCTGTATGTATAGTGTGTATTTATATTTGGGGGACTATCTCGCGACTGGCTAAACTAACGTAGTTTATTTTGTGAAGTGCGGGAGAGCCATGCTTCGGCACGAATGGGCCGGCTCGACCGGAGTGATACCACGGCCGAGCAGAAAACCGACGTGAAGCAACGCTTGCGTTGTGTTTCGTCGTGTGAGTGAGGTTACCGGAGGCCCAATTACCCTCCCCTTCCCCAATCTCCCCAATCCCTGAATCCCCAACGATCCTCAAACTCCCAATCCCCAAAAGGCCGGTAACGCACTTGTAACGCCTCTGGTGTTCTAGGTGTTCATAGGCGACGCCGATTGCTTACCATCAGGTGATCCGTCTGCTCGTTTACCGGCTTATGCCATAAAAAAAAAATATTTGTACCTTTTATTTTAAAAAAAGATAGACATGACAGGCCTGCCTTCCATTACTAGACTAGGACTATTAGGCGATCTGTCAGTGTGTTTACTATCTACCTTAATATGATATCTATGGCTGAAAAAAATGTACTGGAGTATCTATCTAACCTGTAATCGCATCATGATGTAGTACTAGGCTCACAGCATGCCTTAGCAGATGCAATTCATATGAATCTCCTAAACGAGCGATGACTGTCAGTTGTTTTACTACCTGAAATAGATATTAACATTAGAAAATTAAAAATATCTTCTGATGAATATGGTTGATGTCAGAGTGTTATGTGGAACAGTCATACTTCGGGACTGGTGGCCCCGCTCAACCGAAGTTAATACCACGGTCTTACAGAAACCAGTCACAGTAATATTATCAAAGAGTAGTGTAAGGTGTAACTCGGTCGCTTGACAGAGTTAAATACCTACAACCACGCGGTACGTAAACATGCGTTTTTTTTTTACAGGGGGAAAATCATCGAATGACTGCTCCCGGCTGGGTGAGGCGGGACGGAGTGTCAGACTCTTACTGACTAAAAACCATCCCGTTCCTTCTCCTGCACGTCGAGCCGGAGCCCCGGTTACCCGTTAGGTTCTCCGCGATTCCGTTAGGCAGCATATCGGCATCAACCCTGTTAGGCGCGTAGGTAGCTGCTATGCTAGCTGGTAGGTGGCAGCTCGCGTATCAGCCGTTTATATGAAGTTGGAATACTGTATGATATTATTACCGTGCCAAAGTGAAACAACAAGAGCATTGTCCTTCCACGTTTGGGCGCCATTACTCATAGACCAACCCCCGTCCCCAAAAACCTGGCAACCCCTATTTTTTTTTTTACGGGGGGATAATCATCGAATGACTGCTCCCGCCTGGGTGAGGCGGGAGGGAGTGTCAGACTCTTACTGACTAAAAACCACCCCGTTCCTTCTCTTGCACGTCGAGTCGGAGCCCCGGTTACCCAACCCCTATATGGCTATCATAAGCGGCGCTTATCATAGAGTCCTAATCTTTTGAATGAGGTGCAACTAACAACTGTTTACTAGACACCGTGACATCTATTTCGTTTTCGTCCCGAAGTAAAATGGTTCTGTCTCGGTAATACAATAGTTTTACAAACAAATAAAATGTTTAAAACAAAAAATAACTGGTGAACCATTGCAACGCAAACTTCGAAAGCGCATACGAACTCATAGTACATTATCAAAACATCACGCCATGTCATTCTCGGAGAGGTATTCCTCGTCGGGTGACACGTGCGATGCGAATAGTGCGTACAAATTTACGTCTAGTGTTTCATGTGCATATTTCAATGAACATTGAAAAAAAAAATAACAATGACATCTTTATTTTTTTGTTTTTACTTTATACATCGAAAGTACTCCTTATGGCAAGTTGTTTTGTCGCGGAGAACCTAACGGGTAACCGAGGCTCCGGCTCGAGGTGCAGGAGAAGGAATGGGGTTGTTTTTAGTCAGTAAGCGTCTGACACTCCCTCCCGCCTCACCTAGGCGGGAGCAGTCATTCGATGATTTACCCTCTTAAAAAAAGGGCAAGTTATTTTGCCGCGAGACGAAAACGAAATGGGTTTCATATCCATAGGAATCTATACATTGGATCATTCCAAAAAAAATGTTTTTTTATTGACGTTCAAAAGTGCCTTCCAGGGTGCTTACTCTTGAAACCAATCTCAATGTCAATGCAATTTAAATCCATTAAAATCTCAATAATTATTCAATGTCACCACTTACACAGCCACAATTGTAGTTGTTATTATAGCATTAAGAGTACGGAATATAAAGCCAAACTCAATACCATTTAGTTCATTCAATATCCACGCAATACGGATGCAATGGGCGCTAGTGTTGCAACTCGAGACTACAAAATTTCACAATATCAATGTCGATCGATCGGAATTGGATTCAAGAGTAAGCCCCTTGGTCTAATTGAAATAAATGATTTTGACTTTGACTTTGACTACACATTGAAACCATTACGAGACCAAACATGATACATTTGCTGAATGTTTATGAGGAGTTAAGTATCTTTCAGAGTCCAGATGACATCAGCATCAGGTCAATAAGGATATACTTCTTGCAGACTTACTTGCAAAAACACATGTGCCCTTCTAGCAAAGAATTTGAGACTTGGTCTAGACGTGTAATAACCAGTCCAGTACGTCATGGAGTCACTGCCGTATGGCAGTTGGTCATCCTGAAAGAATAAGAACACCGTGAATGAAAACATAATAATGGTTGCCTATTCTTAGTTTTCAGTCTAATAGAAAAGTAGTTATTAAAGAAACAACATAATATGACATCACACCTTTTATCCCCGAAGGGGTAGACAGAGGTACACATTATGCCACTGTACAATGTGACGCCCACTATTTATGTTATTAGTCCCATGTATACGGGGTGAGCCTATTGCCATATACCGGGCACAATTCCAGTCTCCGTGCTTCTACTGAGAATTTTTAAAAACCCAGTAATATTTTTGCCCGACTTGAGAATCTTACCTGAAACCTGTTGCCCGGCAGTCGCACTTGCGACCGCATGGCCAACGAGGCAATGCCACAAAAACAACTGTATGTACTTTTGCATTATAACGTCCGTGATACATACTAAATTAATTATTATGTTATCAGCTTATTCACGTATTTATTTGACGAGGAACTCGACTAGTTTCAAGCCATGCTAGAGGCTCATATTCATGAGGAGCATTCCACGACCCGCGACGCGGCAACTGTTGCGCTGCTACTGACTATGAGCCTATGACTATGGCTTGAAACTAGTTGGGCTTCTCGTCAAATAATTACGTGAGTGAGCTGAAAAACATAGTAATAAATTTGGTATCATGTACTTTTGGATCTGAAAAACAGGCCCGGTTGTGTTTCCTCAAGTGATTGTAAGCAAATCTATAAAGCACGAGTTAATGGGTTCGATTCTGGTGTCAGAAAAATATAATTCATTGGGGTTTTCAAAAATTTTCGCTACTAGCATGAATTCTAGAGTCATACCTAATCTGTGGTAGTGGAAAATATGTACAACTCTTTTTAGGTCTGATTGAATACTTACTTTTTCAGTATAAACAGCTTTATCCCTCCTCCCATACAAATAAATAGCTTTCAGATAACAAGATGGCGTCGAGTAGAATATATTAATGTCTGACAAATTTGCTGGGTGCGTGTTGACATGGCTGCAAAGGTAAAAATTAATAAAATTGCTAAACTTCTAAACTCGTCTACTGGTCTTCTCGTTTACTGGTCTTCTCGTCTACTGGTCTTCTCGTCTACTGGTCTTCTCAAATCATTTACTAGCCTATTCGTTTACCTACTATTTTTCTACTATACTGGTCGACTTTTTGTCTACTTTATAAGTCAACTAGTTTCTACAGTCTGAAGTGAAGACTGCGCAAAAAGGCCAGAGCTCAGCTTAGACCCGAGTGCGCTCGAGTCGCGGCTTTGATTTTCAGCACTTGCCCGTCGTGACTATAGTAATATATCATACAACAATAATAAAAAATATATTATAAACAGTGATTTTATCAATAATTAAACATTTGTTTTAAAAAAGAAATAAAAAAAAATTGTGGAACAAACAATTTGAAATAAAATAAGTCTCGCGAACTAAACGCATGCTTGACACTGACTGATAATGATAATAATGTAAGTGTGGGAGAGCCACGCTTTGGCACGAATGGGCCGACTCGACCGGAGCAATACCACGGCCTCACAGAAAACCGACGTGAAGCAACGCTTGCGTTGTGTTTCGTCATGTGAGTGAGGTTACCGGAGGCTCAATTACCCTCTCCTTCCCCAACCTCCCCAATCCTTGAATCCCCAACGATCCTCAATCTCCTAATCCCCAAAAGGCCGGTAACGCACTTGTAACGACTCTGGTGTTCCAGGTGTCCATGAGCGACGCCAATTGCTTACCATTTATTCAGGTGATCCGTCTGCTCGTTTACCGGCTTATGCCATAAAAAAATGAAGTAAAAACATATGAATATACAAGACTAGGTGTATAGAGGTAGTGTATTTACTTGATGAGTTTGTCCATATTCATGAACCAGTTGGCTGCACTCTGATATGTGAAGTCTCCTCCCATCGTCACCATGATATTGTCGTGATCGTAATATTTCGCTTGTCTTTCTATCTGAGATATGAAATCGTTTACCTGAAAACATTCAATATTTTAGTAAATAAAATGTCTAACTGCCTCGTTGGTCAAGTGGTCGCAAGTTCGACTGCCGGGCAAGGGGTCTCATGTCCGATTCCCGGGTCGGGCAAAGTATTGGTACTGGGTTTGTAAAAACATCTCAGTAGTAGCACGGAGTCTGGAATTGTGCCCGGTATATGGCAAAAGGCTCACCCCCTATTACATGGGATTCATAGCATAAATAGTGAAAAGTGGGTGTTACTTCTATGTGCACCTGCCTACCCCTTCGGGGATAATAGGCGTGATGTTATGTTATGAATAAAATGTTTAACTATCTTGCTGTTCTTGGATTGGATATCCTCTCTGATTCGTTTCTAAGACTATTTGTCTTCAAAATTTAACGAATGAAATGGTTGAGTTTGGCTTTATATTCTATTCTCTGAATGCTGTTTTAACAGCTACGATAGGGGTTGTAGAGTGTTAACATTGAATAATTATTGAAATTTTATTGGTTTGAAATTGCATTGACATTGAGATTGGTTTTAAGAGTAAGCGCCCTGTTCTGCTTACCCTTTTATCAGCATTGTACACTTTATTGTCCGGATCATCGATGATTGGTTCGTCATTGCAAAGGAAATCGAAGCAGAATCCATCAGGAGCATTATAGAGGTTGAACAGCGTATGAGTCATTATATCTGACATTTTACCTAAAAACAAATATCGTCATTATCAAAGAGCATAAAGTATAGGGGAAAACCATTGGGCCTGCTGACGGCGATCTCGGGTGACTTGCCACCCGACCAGAACCACGCCTGAGCGTATGGCGCGTTGCGTTCCGCGCGCTTCAAGGAGCCATCAGACCACCACAGATGGAGCCTAACAGGGTTGATGCCGATACGGAGTTGCGAAAGACTTAACGGGTTGTCGAGGCTCCGGCTCGAAGTGCAGGAGTAGGAACGAGGTGGTTTTTAGTCAGTAAGAGTCTGACACTCCCTTTCGCCTCACCCGGGCGGGAGAAGACATTGGATGATTTTCCCCCCCTCAAAAAAAAGGGGAAAGCCATTATCAACGACACGTGACAGTCCAGTGTTATTTTCAGGGATTGTGGAAATTTGGGAGGAGGGGGAAGTAATTGGGCCTCCGGTAACCTCACTCACACGACGAGACACAATGCAAGCATTGTTTCACACCGGTTTTCTGCTCGGCCGTGGTATCACTCCGGTCGAGCCGGCCCATTCGTGCCGAAGCATAGCTCTCCCACGCTTAAATGGTCAATCTTTTGCCATGTGATTCTAATTAATTTTAAAATTTCTTTTAAAGACCCCATGATGTAAAAAAAACTGTTATCTTAAGAAAATGATACCCTTTTTTTGAGAGGGGAAAATCATCCAATGCCTTTACCGCCTGGGTGAGGAGGGAGGGTGCATCAGACTCTTACTTACTAAGAACCACCTCGTTCCTACGCCTGCACTTCGAGCCGGAGCCCCGGTAACCCGTTAGGTTTACAGCGACTCCGAATCGGCATCGGCCCTGTTAGGCCCCGTCTGTGGTGGTCTGATGGCCGTACGCTCGGGTCTGTTTCTGGTCGGACGGGGAGCCACCAATACTCGCCGTGCGCAGGCCCGCGCTTACGGTGGCCGGAGATCGTTCCGCGATCCCCGACGCCCGGAGTGTCCTTCGCGATGGCTGTTGCGAGGAGGCAGCACTTCGCTGCCTCACGCGCCCAAAGATTAACGATCCCCTATACTTATACTCTTTGGATTGACGTGTAGAAATATTACTTTGTAAATTATTTTCAGAAATAAATACTCTTTCTTTTTCTAGTAAAAATAATAGCTTTTGTTTTATATTTACCCAGTACATCAGACCCTCGCCACATGAATTCCATTCTATCCTCTTCAATCATAGCTTCTCTTTGCTTGTGGTCTACTCGACCTGTTGGAACAAACTCAATTACTGCTTATGATACTCTGTAAATCTTTACATATAATAAAATCGTAGAAAAATGATAACTGTATAATATCGAATATTTTTATAAAAGAATGCTTTGGGCGTGATCTACAATCGATACCGACACCAAAAATATGGTTTTTAGAATCTTTGTCTGTTTGTCTGTATGTATGTCCGGGCTGAAGTCAAAAAGTGCTGAATGAATTTATTTCAAATATTATTTAGGCCGGCAACGCACCTGTAACTCCTCTGGTGTTGCGGGTGTCCATGGGCGGCGCTGATCTCTTACCATCAGGTGATCCGTCTGCTCGTTTGCCTCCTATTCCATAAAAAGAAACGAGCTCCATCGTAGACCGCATCATCGCTTACCCCTAGGCGACATACTGGTCAAACGTCGGACCATCGAATAAAAAAAAACTGGACTAACCTATGAACAGTCCATCATACCCCATCTGTGCTAACAAGGACACCTGTTCCCTTGTATGCCCGTACGTGTCTATCTGCCAGGCAGCCTTCGGTTTGCCACACGGTCCAAGAGTATCGTTCAGTTTTCTACAAATAAAGACGCCAATTAAAAGATTTATTATCTCTTTCCTTTCTTTGAACTTAAAGGACGAGTTTTTAAGAATCACATTCGAATAAAAATAAAGATTTACTAGCATACACAAGTTAGATTACATGTAGATATGGAAGCGAACAGCAGTCACATAAACGCAAACACGACAGAGGTGCCCGTGGGCCCCAAACTAGACACAGCCTGTATCTTGGGGGAAAATCATCGAATATCTTCTCCCGCCTGGGTGAGGCAGGAGGGAGTGTCAGACTCTTACTGACTAAAAACCACCCCGTTCCTTCTCCTGCACGTCGAGCCGGAGCCCCGGTAACCCGTTAGGTTCTCCGCGACCGCGAATCGCCATCAGCCCTGTTAGGCCTCATCCGTGGTGGTCTGATGGCTCTTTGAGAATGGTAAAGGTTTAGACTAGTTAGTTTTGGCGTTCTCAATACTGATAGGCTACGCAATTTTAAGTTGTACTTGTGATGACACATGTTACATATCAACGGATGACGTCACAAGAATCCTACATCGCACGAGCAAAGTTTACATGCAAATTAACACGGATAGAAAATCCCAACGAACAACTGTTGGGCCGCCAATAGCTTGCTGCTCGCTGGGCTTGCCCGGCTAGAGCGCGGCTCATGGCGGGGCAAACCACCAGACTCGACACCGCATCGGGCCCCGCAAGGAGCCCGACTAATCCAACCCCTCGCCTGCTGTAGCAGGCAGCGAGCGCATCCGCCGAAACAGGCATCGGCCTGGATCGCGCGACCTGAAGCCCCCAGCCGGGGCCGCAGAGATGACCCGACGACGACAACCGTTGGGCAGAAAGCCCGCCAGGCACGAACAACTCGCCTGGTCGGAGGATCCTCCTTTTCCGATCTTAGGGAACTATACTCTCTATTCCCTAAATACTTAAATACTATATCGTGCCATCTCTGTCGTTTTACAAAGAATTGATAGGGATAGAACTATACGGCTTATGATTGAGTGGCGTTTGAGCAATTTCAGCGTCAGAGTAGAAAGGACTGCCTGGTTGGTCGAGTGGTCGCAAGTGCGACTGCCTGGTCGGGCAAAGTATTACAGGGTCTTAAAAATTCTCAGAAGTAGCACGGAGTCTGGAATTGTGCCCAATATATGGCAATAGAAACACCCCCTATTACATGGGACTCATAACATAAATAGTGAAAAGTGGGTGTTACATTGTACAGTGGCATAATGTACACCTCTGCCTACCCCTCCGGGGATATAAGGCGTGATGTTATGTTAGTAGAAAAGCCTCATTCACATTTTATTCGCTTAAGGAGATGAAGTGACTGTCAGATTCTTAATGATTTATGACTCTGCCAGCCACACCGAACCTGATACCCACTTTACCAGCCCATGACATGGCTGGACTAATGCTCTACCTAGAGGGTTTATCACGATTTCCATGCTACCAAGCCACGCAAGCAAGTTTAAAAGGTTCATTTATCCGAGAGTACCTCTATTGCTACGATGGTTTGGACATATAGAAAGGATGGATGAAATTAGAGTAACGAAAGAAGTATACAGAGCTGATATTGTTTCTTAAGTTTCTTTAAAAAACGTTGCCCCACATTAGGATTTTGTCCTGTGTCGTGGGTGCGTTTACAAACATACAAGTTCACATACACAATAACACCCAGACCCGAAACAACAATTTGTGGATCACACAAAGTGTTGTTCCGTGCGGGAATCGAACCCGCGACTTGTTGCACGCCCAGCCAACACACCAACCGTGCAGATATGAATGAGGCCGTCTGTAATATCGATTAGATTGGCGATATATTAAGACTTTGACGGCCAATAAAATACTGTTGAAGGTAAATCCTCTGCTAACGTCGGTCACTGGTGACCCCCATGCCCATGGCGTTTAACGTATTTAAGAAGGGCCAAATTAAAAGTACCCTTAACTGACGAGCATGCATGAAAAGATTGATGACTGTTAGTGAAGCGAAAGAGGTATGTAAGAATCGTAACAATTAGTGTTCCATAGTCTCTGACAAGGGAGACAGGCGTGAAGTTATGTATGTGTATTTGTAACTGTAAAAGCTCGAACTGTAAATCCTGTAAATCTGTAAATCCTAAGATATTCCAGTAAATCCTAAGATCTACCAATTCCTAACGGTAAATGTCCAAAAACATTTGCGATTCGAACTTTTACCACCATTCCGTTGGTAAATCTTAGGATTTACATCAATGGCATAGTAATGAATTAACCTTACCTATTAATCAATTACATTTAATTGCCTTTTTTTACTTCTAAACCAAATAATAAGAAAAATAATAATTCAATTAGACTAGCTTTTATAAGCATTATGTTTGTAGTTCGTTGTTAAATTCCAAATAGAGAAGTAATGATTCAGTTCACGGAATAGTATTCTGTATTCCGTGATTCAGTTAGATAGATATGACAGAGATTGAGATATTCAGATATATGTAAACGTTATGTGTTTTTTCAAAATAATTTAAATAAGTTGATGTTGGTTTGTACTTGATACTATCATTATGATATCTTTATAATACTATGTACCTATTTTGTCTAATAGTTCAAAGTAGAGGTAAATAATTAAGAATTACTCATTGTTTTATACCTAAAACCAACATCTACCAGCTGACAGTGTTAAATACCTAGCATATACTGAGTTCGAATGGTAAAAGCTCGAAAAAATCGTCGTATGTTCAGAAATACTTACATTTACCAACTCATGTCGGTAAGATTTACCGTAGTTCGACCTTTTACAGTAACATATGTATTGCTACATAACCTCTGTAGTCTCTAGTCCCTTTGGTCGCATAAGAATGGAAAAATACACAAAAGGAAGGCCTTATATACACCCACGCGGTGGTAGCTCATACACCTACCTCAAACCCCAAGTATACTGGTCAATTATGTGAAGATAATCAGGAGTAGCTTCATCATTATGCACCCAGCCTCCTCCAGCAAATTCCACTCGACCTTCTTGTACCAGGGTCCTGAAGGTAGCCCTAGTGGTGGGCCGCTGTTCCTTCCACCAGCGCCAGAAGTAGGCTGTCTCTGAGAAGGTGAACCTTTGGAGAAAGATGTAGAAATGTAAAAAATAGAAATGTAAATTATTATTATTTATAGCATAAGCCGGTAAACGAGCAGACGGATCACCTGATGGTAATCCATCGGTATCGCTCCAGAACAACAGAGGCGTTACAAGTGCGTTATCGGCCTTTTGGGGATTAGGAGTTAAATAATTGTTGGAGATTCATGGATTGGGGAGATTTGAGAAAAGATGGGGAGGGGTTGGGGGTAATTGGGCCTCCGGTGACCTTTCTCTTACGATGAAACACAATGCAAGCGTTGTTTCGCATTGATTTTCTGCTCAGCCGTGGTATCACTCCGGTCGAGCCGGCCCATTCATGCCGAAGCATGGCTCTCCCACACTTAAATGGTCAATCTTTTACCATGTGATTCCAATTAATTTTATAAAGATTTATTTTAAAACCCCATGATGTAAAAAAACTATTATGTTCTGGTCGGGCGGCGAGTCTCCATGCTCGCCGTCCGCAGGCCCGTGCTTACGGTGGCCGGAGGTCGTCTCGCGATCCCCGACGCCCAAGAAAATATTACCTTACCACCACAAATTGAGCTCTTTAGCCGATTCCGTATCTACACTTACAAAAGCGTTTGAAAAATTTTAAACTGATGAAGGTTATTAAAAGCTATACCTTCGAAATAAATCTAATCAATTCGAATTTACTTACTTTCTCCTCTTATCGTGCAGCAGTTCCGAAAGTACAGAATGGTATATTAGCTGTACATTCGCCGTGCTTATTGAAGTCTTCGCTGTAAAACAAAGTTTTAGAAGCCATATCAGTAATTGGTGAACATTTCTAACCATTTGAGTTTGGAGTGGTTTGAAAAAATAGGATGAAATTTAGGTATATAACATAACACCGCACCTTTTATCCCCGAAGGGGTAGGCAGAGGTGTACATTACAACATTTAATGTCACTATACAATGTAACATTCACTTTTCACTATTTATGTTATGAGTCCCATGTAGTAGGATGTGAGCCTATTGCCATATACCGGGCACAATTCCAGACTCCGTGCTACAACCGAGAATTTATAAAAACCCAGTAATATTTTGCCCGACCCGGGAATTGAACCCGAGACCCCTTGCCCGGCAGTCGCACTTACGACCACTCGGCCAACGAGACAGTCAGTAAGGAATTGAATGTTTCTTTAATGTGATAATAGTTGTAATCATAGTAATAATACCTCAAGGCTGATTTTGTATGAACAACACGAAAACAAAAACGATTAAAATAAAGATGATGACAGGGTATAAAATTAAAAATGTAATTAGTCCGTCAGTTAGGTAATGAGAAAATATTAGACACGTATTTTTTTATTTTGTTGTATAATAAAACGATACTTAGATATAACGAACCAAAGTTTAGGAGTGGGGGCTAAAACGTCATTCCTACGTATAAAATGTACATAGAAGTGACGTCACGTGACATTTCAAATCAATATATCGTGGAAAGTATTCGTTTGTGTAAAAAAATAAAAAACGTGTGTATTATTTTTATATAATCTACCAGACGGACATTAAAATATAAATTAGTCATCTACCCTAACAATTTCTTCTTGTCGGCGTTTTGGGAGGGTTCCGTTTACACCTGC